CCTGGGAGAGTTGCAGAAGGCTCTTTACAGGGAGGGGAGGCAATTTTTGGCTGGTGAGATCAGGGGCTCTGAGGACACAGCAGAGTGGGAGGCAGGAAACAGCTGTGCAGCCTTGGGGAACTAAGCTGTGCTGGCACCTGGACCCCGCAGCTGGCCTGGGGGCTGCAACACCTGGTCTGGGCCTTGAGTGTTGAGAGCAAGTTGGTCAGTGGTGCTGGTTGCTCTGTGCAGTGGCCACAGCCATGAGGGCCCCGCCTCTCACCCCCTGGGGGACCCATGCCCCAGGACCCCTCAGCCTTTCCTGGGCTAGGGGGGCAGGTCATGACCTGGGACAGTGATGTCCCCGAGAGTTCTCCTCAGTCACTCCACGTCCTGGGGTGGCCGGCAGCTGGGGGCATGGATGGCCGGGCGTCGGCTGACGGCTGGCTGGCGCCCCCCAGGCGCTGTTCGTGCTGTTCGTGCTGGCCTACATCCACATCGTCTTCTCCCGCTCACCCATCAACTGCCTGGAGCACGTGCGGGACAAGTGGCCACGGGAGGGCATCCTGCGTGTGGAGGTGCGCCACAACTCCAGCCGGGCGCCCGTCTTCCTGCAGTTCTGTGAGGGCAGCCGTGGGAGCTTCCCGGGCCTGGCTGTGGAGCCAGGTGGCCTGGAGCTGGAGGAGGAGGAGGAGGAGCTGACCATGGAGATGTTCAGGAACAGCTCTGTCAAGGTGAGCTGCCTGTGGAGGGCTCAGCAGACCCCGCGACTGCAGAGGTGGGGGTGGTGGCTGCCTGGGAGGCCCTTGGGCCTCGAGGGGTTGGCACAGACCACCTCTGCCTGCTGCAGCCGTTGTAGCCCTTGGTGACCTTTCCTGCATCCCTATTGGAAGCAGGGCTGGGGCACTGGGTGCTAGGGTTTCCCTGTGGTCACGTGGGGACAGCAGCCAATTGGGGGTGCTGCAAGCAGCCAGGGGCTGAGCCAGGGCTCAGTCTAAACTGAAGGCACAGCTGCTGTGGGGTGCGTCCCCGCAGTCACACTTCAGCAGCTGGGGCTTGGGGCTTGGATGGGCCTGTGCCCTGTGACCTCTGCAGTGTTCAGCTCTGCCTGTGTCCTGCCCTGTCCCTAGCTTCAGAGGTCGGACCCCTCCTGGAGAGGACCACATCAGGGCAGGCTTGGTGTCAGGGTGGGGGTCATCAGCCCCCAGCCCTGGAGGTGGTAGATGCCCCAGCCGGACCTAACGCTCTGGTGCCTGGTTGCCTGCAGTTTGAGTTGGACATTGAGCCCAAGGTGTTCAAGCCTCCAGGTGGTTCTGAGGCCTTGAATGACAGCCAGGAGTTCCCCTTCCCCGAGACGCCCACCAAAGGTACGCACCGAGGCCGTGTGCAGGGTGGGTGCTGAAGCCCTTCGCCACCCAGGAGAGTGGGTGTGGGGTGGACTGCCTGACCAGCTGTCCCCGCAGTGTGGCCCCAGGATGAGTACATCGTGGAGTACTCGTTGGAGTACGGCTTCCTGCGGCTGTCACAAGCCACCAGGCAGCGCCTGAGCATCCCGGTCATGGTCGTCACCCTGGGTGAGCCCGACTGCACAGCTGGGGCTGGGGTACCCAGGCCTGTCCGGGTGGGCCCGCCTTCCCAGGGAGGGCCTCCATCCCAGCAGGCCCTCGGAGGCTGGTCCACCCTGATCCTTACCCACCCACAGACCCCACGCGGGACCAGTGCTTTGGAGACCGCTTCAGCCGCCTCCTCCTGGATGAGTTCTTGGGCTACGATGACATCCTCATGTCCAGCGTGAAGGGCCTGGCAGAGAATGAGGAGAACAAGGGTGGGCCCCGTGGGGTGTGGGGGTGGCGGGAAGGGTTGGGGCAGCACCTGCGCTCACTGCCGCGCCCCCAGGCTTCCTGCGGAATGTGGTGTCCGGGGAGCACTACCGCTTCGTCAGTATGTGGATGGCCCGCACGTCCTACCTGGCCGCCTTCGTCATCATGGTCATTTTCGTGAGTGCTCCGGGGCTTTGAGGGAGGGCGGGGGCCGGCTGGCGGAACCGCAGGGATAGCCCCTGACGTGTGCGGGCCTTACTTGCAGACCCTCAGCGTCTCCATGCTGCTCCGCTACTCCCACCACCAGATCTTCGTCTTCATCGGTGAGTCTCAGCCGGCCGCGGGGGGCGGGGCGGGCTCGCCCCCAGGCCCTCACGGGTGGCCCCCGCACCCTGTGCCCGCAGTGGACCTGCTGCAGATGCTGGAGATGAACATGGCCATCGCCTTCCCTGCAGCGCCCCTGCTGACGGTCATCCTGGCCCTCGTTGGTGAGGACCCTACCCGGCATCCCCCGCCCCACACCCTCCCCACCCACTCCAACCTGGCGCCACCTGTCCCTGCAGGGATGGAGGCCATCATGTCCGAGTTCTTCAACGACACCACCACGGCCTTCTACATTATCCTTATCGTGTGGCTGGCTGACCAGTACGACGCCATCTGCTGCCACACCAACACGAGCAAGCGTCATTGGCTGCGGTGAGCTGGGCCCCGACCCATAGGTCCTGGGGTCGGCATGGCGGCTTCCTCAGCTCACTGCCTGCCCCCCCCCAGGTTCTTCTACCTGTACCACTTCGCGTTCTACGCGTACCACTACCGCTTCAACGGGCAGTACAGCAGCCTGGCCCTGGTCACCTCCTGGCTGTTCATCCAGGTGGGGCACACCTTTGAGGAGGGCTGAGCCTGGGCAGAGGGCAGTGTGGGCCCCTGTGCCACCCAGCTTTCCCTGCTTTGGAACCCTCTGGGTGGACTGGTCCCATTAACTCATTTTTCTTCCCAGTGAGTCAAGGTGGGCGGCAGAGGGGCCTTTCCTGGGTTATAGTGTGGACAGAGGCCCCCCCACCCCGCTCCAGTGTGGGCAGGGTCTTCCAGCTCCCATCTGGTGTGGCTGTGGGCTGACCCTGCCGTCCGCCCGCAGCACTCCATGATCTACTTCTTCCACCACTACGAGTTGCCCGCCATCCTGCAGCAGGTCCGCATCCAGGAGTTGCTGCTGCAGGCGCCACCCCTGGGCCCCGGGGCCCCCACAGCGCTGCCCGAGGACCTCAACAACAACTCAGGCCCCCAGGCGGCCGCCCCCGGCCCTACAGGCCAGCCCCTTGCTCTGGGCCCTGGCTCGACTGGAGCTGCTGGGGGGCCTGGGCCCGGGGCTGCAGCTCCCAGTTCACTGGGGGCTGTAGCCGCTTCGGTAGCCGCAGCCACTGGGGGTGACCTGGGCTGGATGGCAGAGACAGCAGCCATCATCACGGACGCCTCTTTCCTGTCCGGCTTGAGTGCCTCCCTCTTGGAGCGGAGGCCCACTGGACCCTTGAGCCCCAGTGGAGGACTCTCCCATGCCCCCCAGGACAGTGCTCCCCAGAGTGACCCTGTGGCACCTGACACAGCCTCGGCCACAGACATGGGGGCTGAGCCCAGCCCTGCATCCACGGTCCCAGGAGAGGCACCCTCCGAGGTCGGGTCCTGAGCCCCCACCAACAGCTGAGCCGCCTGTCAGGGCTTCCCCCTGGGGAGCTATTGGGCACCTTGCAGCAGCCCCTCGGGGTGGGGCAGGTTGTCCCTCCCCCCTGGGTTGCCCCTTCGCTCCGATTGGGGTTTCATCAGGTTTGTGGAAGGTGGGTCCCTGTCTCCCAAGTGTGGGGCCTGGCCAAGGCTTGTCCTGGTAGTGAGCTTGTTTGTGGTGGTCTGCGAGGACAGGGGTCGGGGGCTCCCGGAAGTTCTGAAGGGGGCTTGGTGTGAGGTCTGTAGTGCCCCGTTCCAGGGGCAGCGCAGGGCACCAGTCGGGCAGGTCTGAACAAGGTAACCAGATAGGAGTGGGCTGGGCAGCTTCGCCCTCATGCCCCGGGCTAAGGGGCAGTCGGGCCCAGCCCTGCCCGGTGCTCCCTGTGCAGTGCCTTCTTCACGGCTGACCCTCCCCATGTGCACCAGGCCTGGGGTCCCCAAGAGGGCAGAGCTGTGTCTGGGGCACAGGTGCCAACATCAGTGCCTGGGGTGCCAGGGTCCAGCCGTGCTCAGGGCGGGAGTGGGCCAGGCGGCCAAGCCAATCACTCGGTGAGGAATGCAGAGCAGCGCTCATTCCATTCTATTTAATTGCAGTATACAAAATTGTGTTTGTATATAGAATAAACTCCGTGAACAGGGTCGGGTCTGCCCTCGCATGTGCGCGGGGGAGGGGTCTGCAGCTGGATCTTATCCAGCATTGGATCACGGGGCGTCCTCAGGTGCGGCTTGGGCTCTGAGCAGGTGCAGTGGCCGGTGGCGAGCGCTGTCCCCAAGTCGAACTAAGAGCTCCCCACGCCGCATCAGAGCTCGGCGCAGCCTTTCGCGGACGGCTTCTATGTGCCGCTCCAGCTCTTCCAGCTCTCCGCTTGGCGAGGTCGCTGGCATAGCAGTGGGCGGTGGCCCGTTGGAACAAATCCAGACTGGACTTTCAGGGGTCCCAGGCTCCGCCTCTGCCCCTCCCTGGGTGCCTGCCATCCCTGGCTCCAGCAGGAAGCGCACCCTACGCTCCTTGCCCACAGCCCGGCGCACTCGTTTCCAGCGCCCTGGACCCTCGGGGTAAGCTGAGGTGTCTTGCTGCTCCTGCTGCTGCTCCGAGCCACTGGGGATGGGACAGGGCTAGGTAATGAACCGGGGCAGCCGCAGCCCTCTGCCATCCGGGGGTGCGAGGACTTGTGAAGGGGCCTTCGACAAGGCCTGGAAGTATGTGAAGAGACCCCCCCCCCACGTCGGGCGGGGTCCCTGCTGGCGGGCGCAGCTGTTCTTTACCTGGGCTCTGGCTCCAGCCTCTCCCTCTGCCCTTCCGGCCGTTCTGTGTTGAGAGCCCGGTGAATTTTCTAAGATCCCAGACAAGCCCCGTTGGAGGTGGGGTCTGCAGCAGGCGCTGTCCCCGCTGTGCCCACGCACCGACGGCCCTCACCTGGCTGGTGTGCAGCCAGTACTGCAGCCTGCTGCCCCTGCGGATGCGCGGCAGCACCAGGCGGAAGAAGACGTGCTCGCACAGCGAGCTGAGCAGGGCGCTGCCCAGGCCCAGGCAGAGCAGCACGAAGAGACCCGAGAAGTGGTAGATTCCCATCTGGAGGGTCTGGAGCAGGACACAGGATCCTCTCACCGCCACGAAAGCAGACCGCTGGGGAGTCCTCACGTGGCGCCAGAGCCAGGCTGGGCGCACGTGAGGGCTCGCGGAGGCGGGCGTGGAGGGGGTGTRGGAAGGGCACCAACGCAGATGGACATCTGGGGGGTGAGCAGGGGTCGAGCGCTTCGCCCGCTAAGCTGTCACGCACTCTGGGGTCCTGCCTCACCTCAGTAACCGCGAAAACGCGCTTTCCGCAAGGCACCATCTTGTACCACTTGTCGTGGAGCAGGTCGATGAACCCCGAGGACTTGTAGCGGCTGATGAACTCGGACAGGTTGGAGGTGAGCGGGGAGTTCTGGGGCAGGCCGATGCCGTAGCCTGGGGGAGCGGGCCGGGACACGGCCCCGGGAAATTGTACCCAGCATGTCCGACCTGGCCCTGCCCCCTGGCGCCCCCGTGGCTCTCCACGGGCGCGACCCCTCCCATGCCCTCACCCTCGATGGCGAAAGGCTTGCCCACGGTCAGCAATTTGCAGTCGGCGTCGATGGAGACCTCATAGTCCAGGAGCGACTTGTCCATGATGAAGGCGTTGAGCTTGGGGGGGTCGCTCCTGTAGGACCAGGTGGAGTCAGCAGGCCACCGGCTCTGCGCCGGGCCCGGCCCCCGCCCCCGCCCCCGCCCCCGTCTCACGTGAGCATGGCGACGCCGTCGGGCGTGGTGGGCGCGCTGTGGCGCCGCATGTGCGCGTGCATCTCGGGGAAGCTGGCCTTGATGTAGGCCTCAGCGCTGCTCTCCCGCACGGTGCCGAAACGGAAGCCCTGCGACGGGTGGTGCAGCTGCGCGGAGAGGCGTCGGGCCTGCTCAGCCCCGCGGCCCTGCCCTCTCTTCCCTGAGCTGCCGCAGCCCGACCACCACAGATGCCCCCAGGCCCTGCCCAGGGTTGGGGCGCAGCATCTCGCCAGGTTGAGACCCTTTTGGACACCCACATGTTTGTCTTTACAAATTGGACCAGAATTCCACTCTTATCCCACTTAGAATCCCATAGGATCCCCGAACACCCATCTCTCCCCAACAGCCCCCTGCACCTGCTCCTTGGGCTTCCCACCCACCCTGCTTCTCCTGTCTCACAGCCCACTGCCTTCTCCATCTGCAGAACACCTGGACCTGGACCCTCCCGTTTTCCTTTCCATCCTCAACCACATGCCCCAGAGTCAAAGCCCAAGTCTTCCCTGCAGCCCACAGGACCCCAAATAAGCTTCCCTGTCCTCCCTGCCTCCCATCCTCCTCTCTGCGATCTTCATCTTCTGTCTCCCTCCTACCTTGCTCCAGCCACACTGGCTTTTAGCTGAGCTGTGGGGCCCTGCCTGCCCCAGGGCCTTTGCACAGCTGTGTCCCCTAACTGGATCACTTAATCACAGACATCACAAGACCATTTGCTCAAGCAGGAGGGTGTCACGTGAGGACTTTGCTTATCTGTCAGGATTCTCTGCCTATTTTGTCCACAGAGCATGGAACATACTAGGTGCTCAATAAATGTCTCTGGGGACTGTGGCATAGTTCAGTGCTTACCTGGGTTCCTCTCCCAGCAGCAAAAAATAAACATATCCGCCCTGAGATCCACCCTGCCACGCACCATGAGCCCCAATGAAGCCCCTGGAGCCCTGGTACCCAGGCTGCCCACCTTGGGGTCGTGGATCCCTGACAGCTCCTCGAAGGTCTTGTCTCCAACCATGACTGCGGCCAGGTTGGCCGTGTAGCTGGACAGCACCAGCAGGCAGAAGATGGCCCAGAGGTTCATGAGGAAGCGCCCCGTGGGGCACTTGGGGGTCTTGCTGGAGACAGTGCGTCCGAAAAGGATGGCGTAGCACAGGTTGAGGGCAGAGGAGTAGGAGAACACCGTGCCCCGGTTGCGCCCGCGGGGCGTGAGCCCGTAGGGGCTGCGCCACTCGTACAGGGTGAGGAAGAGCGCCGTGAGGTGCAGAGCCGCGAAGACCCCCAGCCACATGGACCAGTGCAGCGGCCACATGAAGGCACCGATGGGTGAGGCCGTGTCCCGCGCCCGCACCAGGATGCCCAGGCTGGTAGAGAAGAAAGGGCTGGTGAAGTCCATGACCTGGGAGCGTGCCGAGTTGATGCTGAAGCTGGTGACCGCCATGTGGGCCCTGCCAGCCAGCAGGTCACCCACCAGGCCAGTCCAGCGGCCCTCCCGCAGGGCGCCGTATTTGCCATCGCCCACGATGTACAGCTCAAAGTCGAAGGGCGCGTCCTCGGCCAGCCGCTCCAGGAGGTCAATGCAGTAGCCGTAGCAGCATTTGCGCAGGGTGTGGGGCACTGAGCCATTGGCTAGCGCTGCAAACAGAGCGTCCAGCACAGCCGAGTCGTTGGTGCCAGGGTCCAGGCACAGCTGCCCTGCCGGGCACTGCCCGTCCTCGTCTGGCTCACGGGCAAACACAAACGGGTGCTCCACCAGTGTCACCACACGCAATTTGGGTCGGGCCCTGGCACCTGTTGGGGGTGGGAGCTGGGAAGCAGTGCCCCCTGGCTCCAAATCCAGCTGCCCGTCCCGCCAGCTGCCCACCGTGGCCCAGGCTGGGGCGCCCAGTGGGTCCCGGAGAAGGCTCCACACCTTGAAGCTGCGAGAGAGGTGCACCTGCGAGGTGCTGGTCACCCACACGGGCCCCGTGCGGCCCTGGAAAGACGTGTTGGCCAGGAACCTGGGGGAGGGGCTCAGGAGGTCAGCTCCCCACCCAGGGAGTGTGGCCAGCTCTGCTTCCAGGAGGTGGCCTCTGAGGTTTGGGCGGGGGGTGTTGCCTTCCTTGGTACTGAGGGCTGAACCCAGGGACACTCTACCACTGACCACGTCCACGGCCCTCCATACTTCACTTTGAGACAGGGTCTCTAAGTTGCTAAGGCTGGCCTGGCATTTGCGACCCTCCCTCCCCAGCCTCTGGAGCGGCTGGGAAGTGTGCACACGGCACTGGGCTGTGGTCGCAGGGGTCTGGGAGAAGCAGAGCTGGCAGGCAGGAGGCTGGCAGGGCCGCCCAGGGCCCTAGCTGCCTGCTCCTCAAGGCCGCTCCTGGATTGGCTTTGGGTGACAGGAGGTGCCTGGGGGTGCAAGGCCCTTTCACCAGACTCAAGGTAGAGCTCACACTTCAGGGCGCTCTGTGGCTGCAGGCTGAGATGCGCCCCTCCTGCAGGGCTGTCCTGCAGGCCACCAGTCCCTAGTGAGTCCTCTCACCCGGCCCCCTTCTTGGTCTCTCTGCTTCCACCTGAGACAAAACCCTCTCTGTCCTCAGGCCTCGCACACAGCAAGCACAGGATAATAGTGCAGGAGCGACCCTACGGGGCGGACAGCCTTCCCAAAGCAGGGTCCCCACTCACTGAGCCAAGAAGCGCCCGGGGGACTCTGGTCCTGCTGGCTCCCGGTCCTCGCAGTTCGCCATGGCCAGGAGGAGTGCCCGCTCTGGCTGCACACGGGCTGCACTACCCAGCGCCCGGGCCACCAGCTCCACGGCGTCGTGAATAGTGGCCTCCAGTGAGGGTCGGGCCACCTCGCCCAGGGCCAGCAGCCCAGGTGGCAGGCCAGCCGTGGGCAGGGCCTCGGCAGGCAGTGGGGTGCCCAGCAGCCAGCGCGGCCCAGGAGGGGCAGCCTGCAGCACCTGTGGAGCGTGGGTGGTGTCACAGCCGAGGAGGACGGCCACGGGGACTGGGGACTCACCTCCCCCTGGTGTCCCCAGTGGGGCCAGGCGGGTGCGCAGCCCCACATCCTCCACGTCCGGCCGACTCAGGTCCAGCAGGATCCTCGGTGCCCAGCCAGCCCGGCTTGTCCAGAGGGCCACCAGGCCAGCGGGATCCCGGACACGGCAGAGCACCAGGCCGACGTCCTCCCAGCCGTGCGCCTGCAGCAGGGACACCAGCACGTCCAGCAGCGTCTCCAGGGGGCTGGCCCAGTCCAGCTGCAGGTGGAACGGGGACTGGGACAGGGGTGCTGCTGTCAAGGCCGGCAGCCGCCTTGTCCCCTGTACCTGCACTCCTGTCACTGACGGGCAGGCTGGCCGCCCCTCCCCAGATGGCCCCTGCCCAGGCCAGACCTTCACCTGAGGGTTGCAGGGCACTCTCAGCCTGGCCCCCGGTCACGGCTCACTCTGGGATTTCCCCCATCGCCCCTAGCAGGCGTGCTCTTCTCTCCTAAGGGAGACCCCAGGCCTCTCCCTCTGTGGCCCCCCTCTAAACACCCCGTCCGCGGGGCCTCCCTCTCTGCACTGGGCTTGCCTGCCCACCCCCCTCGGAACTCCTCCAGGGCTGAGGGCAGGGACTCCACTGCTCAGAGCCCAGCCTCTGCTAGGAGCCCTCTTCACACATTACCACGGGGCTCTGAGGGAGGGCAGGACTGCTTACCAGACACCTAGGGTGGGCAGGACACTGCCTGGGTGGACAGGGTGCTAACTGGCCAGGGTTGAACTGGGAGACCTAACTCAGTCCCTGGGGGACAGACCAGTCCCCAGCCCAGGGCCCTAGTGGCAACGCATGGACGCAGTTTCTGGAAGTGGCAGCAGAGGGCGCCACACAGCTGGGTTGGGGCCTGGAGAGCTGGTTAGTGACCTGCCTCTCCAGTCAGGGTCTCTCTTCCCGGAGGAGAGGGAAGGCCAGGCCGGGTGTCTCCAAGATGGGTTTGGAAGGAGTGAGGAGACCCCCTGGGAGCCAGTCCTGAGGTTGGCTCTTCCTGCTGGCCCCAAAAGGGGCATCTTCCTCTGGGTACAGTGGGCCCTGTTGGGGGCCTGGGGCCCTACCAGCCACCCTGCTCTCCTCCTGGAATCTGGGGCTGGGATCAAGAAGAGAGTAAGTCCAAGGGGGTGTGAAGGTTCAAAATGACTCCAGGTCAGCAGGAGCCTATGAGGTAGGGGCTGCCTGGCCTCCAGGGTCTCTGGAGGGAAGGAGAGGACCATGGAGAATGGAGGTCTGAACCTGCACCCCTGAAACTGCACATTGCAGGTGAGGCGGGAGACCCCTGCCCTCCCAGCCTAGGGATATCAGGAGCCCTTGATCCGGGGTGCCTGGGTCCACCTGGCAGGAAAGGGACAGGGGTCTGCTTCCATCACCCCGGGAATGGTCTTCCCAGGAACCCTGCGCCTCAAAGGACAGACGGTCTTGTGGGGCCAGGCCTCCAGATCGGGTACCCTGGGGCTCCAGTCGCCTGTCCGTTTCCTGCCCTCCGGGGCAACCAGGGTCTTCCAGGTCTAAGTCCCCATCCCTGTGCCCTGGGTCATGCGGCGTCCAGGGGTTCGGTTCCCGCTGGCGCGCCTTGGAGCAGCCCCAGCCACCCCAGCTCCCGACCCACTGGCGGTTGTCCGCGAGTACCGGGGCGCTGAGGGGCGCGCGCGCCTCCCGCCGCAGCACGCTGAGCACCGGGGTCTCCGTGGCAGCGGCCAGGAAGTGCAGCTGCAGCAGCTCGGGTCGCGACTCCGGGAAGGCCAGCCAGGCTGCCACGCCCGGCGAGGCCAGCGTCTGGCACAGGACGCGGGCCATCGAGGCGGGGTCGCGGGCAGGGGGCGCGGCGGCCACAAGCTCCAGGCTGAGGTTGTGCGGCAGAGGCGGCTCCAAGGCAGCCCGGGCCAGCGCGGTGCGGGCGCGGGCGCGGGCGATGGATGCACGAGGCAGGAGGGCGCCCAGGCGCACAGAGCTCCCCGGGCGCGCCAGAACACCACACGGCTGCGGGTGGCCGCGGGCGGACCCGGGCGCCAGCCCCAGCGCCAGGCCAAGCCACAGCGCCCGCACAAACTCCATCGCAAAGTTGCCAGTGGAGGGTGGAGCCGCGATGCCACCGCACCGGAGGGTTCTTGGTCCTGCCGGCGGCGCGCCCTCCCGGCCTCCGCCGCCTGCGTGCCCAGCCCAGCAGCCCGTCACTGAGCAGCGGGCCGGCCGCCTGGCTTGCAGATAGATGACTGGCGGCCCACTAGGGAGCTGCGGACTGTGCCTGGCAGGGCTGGGTACTGGCCAGCCAGTCATTTCCCATCCTACAGATGAGGAAACCACCAGGGAGGGAGTTTGGGCCTCAGAATTGGCTCACACCCCCACCGGTCTCAGGATCCTGGATCTCCCTGGCCTCCCAGCCTGGGGACGTTTCCCATTGATCAGGTGGGAAGACTGAGTCCCAAGAGGGTCCAGATCCACCCCCCTTCCAGAGAGCAGCTTCTACCCCGACAAGCACCATCAACATTGTGTATTCTGGGGAGTGAGGCGAACGTCAGTGATGGAGAGCTATTGAGTGGGTCTGCTCTCCAGCCCTGGGCGGGCAACTTGGACCAGAGAGCTACTGTTCATCCTTTAAAGACCAGTACCAGATGCCCCACTCTGAAACATTCCCTCCTTCCACCCAGGAACTGGCAGAAACACCCCTCACCCCTGTCTCCTCCACCCCAGGCTCTCATCCTCCAGCTCATCAGACACCTGCTGTTGTGTTTGAGACTTTCTCTCCCACTCTGCTCTGGGAGGGCAGAGGTGGGTCTGACTCAGTTACTCCTGTCTCCAGTAGGACTCAGTAATGCCTTGAGCAAGGACGCTTGGTTCCATCACCCCCCTCCACTGTTCAGAAATGCCCTCACCATCCCTCAGGTTCCTGTCCCCAGCCTCCCTATGTCGGCGGAGCCAGACCTTGGTTGGTAACACTCCCAACAGGGGCTTGGTGGACAGTCAGAGACTCAGGGCGAAGGACACAGGCTCAGGCAGCAGCCTTCCAGGAACGCACTCTTCCTCCTGGTGGGGGCAGAGACCCCAGACTAGGGGAGACCCCACTCTCCAGACCCCTCAGGTGGCAGGCAATGTGCCACCACATTGGCCAGCTGCACTGAGCAGATCTGCACGGGTTAGCCATGTACACACGTACACACATGCACCTCCTTTTGGAGCCAAAATTAAAGAAGAAAAAATTCCATTAAATGAACAAAAATGCCAAATGTTAGCCATTTCCAGCCAGCAAATGAGCTGAATTTTGAGTGACTCCAATGAGGGTTTGGTGGCTCCATCCGAGTGTTCAGGGACCCCTTGTCCACCTGCCTGGCCAGGCATCCCAAGAGAGAAATTTGGTCCTCAAGGGTTCTGGATCCCAGGTCCCTGCCCTCCCAAGCCCAGCCACCGTCACAGCAGGGAGCCCCCTGGCCCTCAGGGGGTCCCCAGGCACCCATTCCCTGCGCTGTGACTGCCCAGTCACCGTATCCTAGAGTTGCCAGGTCTCATCCTCTCTGGGCAGGAGACTCAGAGAGCGGCAGGTTCCAGGACCAGGACATCAGCTGGTTTCAGGCTAGTGGACTTTTCCATGAGCTGGTTCTAGGAGGCCGCCAGACACAGGCCACGCCCCAGGCCTGCCTCCCATCCTCACAGGGCAGACTGCTCTCCTCCGGGGACCGTGAGCCCCACCAGCCAACACCGGGAAGCCGTGTTTTGTTTTTTAATTATGGCAAATATACATAACCCACTGCCATTTCTAACACTTCTCAGCACATGACTCAGTGGTACGAAGCAGTCATAGGGCTGTATGCTGACCCCATGTCCATCTCCAGAACTTTCCATCCCACAAGCAGAAGCTCTGCCCACTCAGCAGCAGCTCCTACCCTTCCCCTCCCGCCCTGGCCCACCGTGCYGCTTCCTGTCTGACCTCCTGGGGGTGACCCTGCAGCACAGCACCATGCAGTGGGGGTCAGGGCATCCTTCCTCTTCACGACTTGTGTGTGTGTGCTTGCTGGGCACTGGGCCACCTGTGCCATGGTGTCCCCACCTCGGCCAGGTGGCTGGCCTTGCTGTGGGCACGGGGGGTCAGGACCCTGCTGCTGGCCTCATGACCTGCCCCCATTCTTCAGGAGCTGCAGGCTGTCTTGCAGATAGATGCCCCGCCTCCTATTCCCACCAGCTGCATGGGTCACGCTGGTTTGGATGACAGCAGGCCGCAGGGAGGGAAGTGACAGCTCCCTGGTCTCCAGGAAGAGCCTTGAGCCAGCCAGGCACGGAAGCCAGGCCTGTCATCCCAGCCATCCCAGCCCTGGGAGGCTGCAGCAGGAGGGTTGCAAGTTCAAGGCTGGCCTCAGCCACGTAGGGAGACCCTGCCTCAAAATACAAAACCACCAGAGCTGGGGTGTGGCTCAGCCCCCGACCAGAGTCCTCCYGGACAGTGGCCTCTTCCTTCGTGGGCCTGCCTCCCATGCCTGTGCCAAGGGTCTAGAGGAGCCCTGTGGATCCCTGAGCCTGCTGTCGCCACCCGGGACAGGTCTCTGTCATCTGGCTCTCTCCCAACCTGAAGGGGGTGCAGGAGAGCATCTGGGTAGGGGGTCCCCTTGGTTGACAGGACTGGGCAGGGAGGGGATGCAGCAGAGGAAGGTGTGTCCAAGGACGCTGTGGAGACCGCCCTGCCCCACACCTGACTTCACCCATCAGCCTGGCCCTGGAGGGCTCCCCGAGGTCGGCCAGGGACACCCCTTCCGCAGATGAGGGAGCGGCGCCAGAGCCCGGTGTGGTTCATGAGGTCAGTTGCCATTTCATGGGTCAGCTGGGCCCCACCTCTTGCTGCCTGGACCAACACCCGTCTATGGTGTGCAGAAGGCAGCGTTCCCTCAGTCCAGTGGCTGCAGGCGGGCAGCCAAGGACAGTGCAGGCACGAAAGCCACCACGCACAGCCATTTGCTCTCCACGGGCTCCTGCTGCCAGAGGCAGTGGCGTCTGGTTGGGATGGCCACCATCTACAGCTGCCCTCACAGGCCTGCCTCCACCGGCCCACCCTGGTCCCCAGTCACGGGTGGGGTGGCCACACCAAGGACTTCCAGATGCTGGCTGGGGCCTTCTGGCCACAGGAACCCTTGGGGGCTGCGGGGGAGAGCTCTGACTCCGAGGGACCCTCAGCTCCCTCAGCCCCACCCTGTGGCTCCAGGCCTCCCAGCCTCACCCCTGCAAAGGGGTGTAGTGARCAGCTGAAAGGTGGCCGCCAGGGAGCACCTGGGAGCCGTGGGGCTGCCAGCCCAATACTCCAACCCTCCAGGCCCAGCTCCAGGTAGACAGGCCGGGCAGAGGSTGGCCTGCACAGGGCCTGCCCCTTGGGGTTCCTGGGGGGCAAGTGGCTTGTGGGCCCCACACAGCACCTGCAGGATGGGGCAGGTGGGGGTAGTAGGAGAGGGACCAGGCCAGTCTGCCAGCAGCGAGGAGAGCCCTAAAGAGGTCAGCTGCACTGTGCTGGCGTGGCCAGGGCATGACGGCACCAGCTGAGTCACATGGGTTTTCTGGACCATTAAACAGAGGTGTCAGTTAGGGAAGCCTTCTGGAAAGTTCCTGGGGCATCTGGGCTGGGCGCCAGGGACTGGCTGGCGGCTGGCAGCATTCCTGGGACAGTGGGGTGGGGAGAGCRGCCTCCTTCAGCCCTGATGCTGGCCAGCACGGTCAGGTGGCTGGCCTAGATGGTGCCCACACCGCTGCCCTCCCAGGTGGGAGCAGTCTTTCCCCTTTCTGAAGAGCCCGTCCACAGCATGCCTTTACCAGGCAGGGGACTTGGGAGAGGCCCCTAAGGTGACCACGTCATCTCCCAGGACGAAGCACCCCCGAGGGCTGGTCCTGGTCCTGGTGGACAGAGCAGCCAGTGTGGAGCCTGAGCCCACCCCACCACGGCCATCCCCAGGTCCCACAAGGGGTCAAGCAACTGGTGGGGCCCCAGGCCTGGCCCTGATCCCCATGCGCTGGCCCCTGCCCTCCAGGGCTGGACCTAGTTCCCTCTGCCCTGGGGGCACCCTTACCCCTGGCAGCTGGCCCGGCCCCCATGTCCCCATGGCTAGCAGAGGCCCCCCTGACTGAGCTGTGGGCTCCTTCTGCAACCCCTGGGCCTCCACACCTGCCTGCCTGCTGCATGGGGCTGGCCACCTCCAGGCCAGAGGGGCCTTGGCCTGGAACCCGATGACCACAGTCCCCCTACCGCGGCATTGGGTCTGGAGGGCCCAGTTTGGCCACTGGGTCTGGCAGGGACACATGGCAGCAGAAAGTGGCTTTTAGACCATCTTTTGTTAAAAACAGAACAGCACCGTGGGACACGACCCATACCAGTGGACCAAAACCCAGACAAAACGGCCCCCAAACGGAGTAAAAAATCGAAACACAAAACTGGCCCAAGCGCCTGAGCCCGACCCTTGAAGGCGCTGGTCGCGGAGGCTTCTCGCAGCGCAGCCCTCACTTGGCTGGCCGCGTGATGATGCGYGTGGAGAAGTCGAAGAGATCGCGGTTGATCTTGCGCAGGTTGCGCACTTGGTCCTCCAGCTCCGTCACGCGCACGCGCAGCTGGTCCTGGCCGCCTAGCACGTTCTAGGGACGGGCCGGATGGTGGGGTGGGGGTGGAGGTGTCAAAGGGCGAAGGGGATCAGCACCCCCTCCCGCTGGGGAGCCCCACCCCGCCCCGCCCGCCCACTCACCTACCTTCTCCATGGTGCTGCACATGACCTTGTGCAATTGCTCCAAGCGGTCCAGGTAGCTGGGCTCTGATCCCTGCAACACAAGGGCACCCGTGACCCCGGGCTGTGCCACACTGCCAGGCCACATCGCCTGGAATGCTGCCCACAGCTCAGAGGCCAGGTGGCCGCTAGGAGGCAAGGTGCTCTTTCCAATGTGTCACTGTCCAAGACTGCCTGGGAGAGTCCTGGGGACAGCAACAGGAATGGAGACAGGCACAGTGCAGAAGTGGTACCTGGGCAGGGCAAGAAGGCTCAGGACCTGGAGTGGGATCAAGTTGCTGCCCAGGAGGGGGGCCAGCCAGCCTGCAGGGTCAGCTCCACCCATAAAGCTGTCCAGTGGCAGCTGCCATGGCCAGGCCTGGACAGGGGCCGTGAGCCAGAGGCCTGCAGCGGTGAATGGAGCAGGGCCAGCGTGGCCAGGCCCAAGACAGTCACGTGGATGCCAGGCAGGGGTTTGAGGGTCGTGACACCACCTGGGGCCTTAGCGGGGACCCTCAGCAGAACCATCTGGAAACACCACTGCCCACCGGAGATGGCTGTGGAGGGTCAGAGCACTGCGTGGTCAGGTGTTGGCAGGACACCCCTACACGCCAGGCCTGCAGCCACCCTAGAAGTTCTGGCATTTCCTGGACCCAGGCTGCCGGGCCCCCTAATGCCACCAGTGGCCAGTGGCCGGTGTTGTTTTGGGGAGACACTGAGGGGCTGGCCTTCCACTGGGAGGGGATGCTGAGGGTGTGGGCCTGTGAGAAGAGGCTGCAGTTCAGCAGGAAAGACCCCCAGGAAAAGGTGCAGAGGCACCCTGCAGAGCAGGTGGGGGCCTACCTGCTGGTGGCGGCCTAGGCGCACGGGGAGGCCCCCTCCTTGCGGCTCGTCCCCGTGCTCGGCGCCCAGTAGGTGCTTGTTGAAGCGGGGCAATGGCAGGCTGGGCTTGAAGTCGGAGCTCAGCATGCCCACTGGCGCCAGCAGGATGGAGGCGTTGGTCACAGGGCCTGAGGGACACCAACAGTCAGCCCCACAGACCCAGGGCCTGAAGCCCGGGCTGGCCAGGCCCGCAGGCCGAGGAGGCCACTGGCCCGCAGGCTGTGCCCGTTCCTGGTGTGGATGCCTGCGGCCACCCACCTCTGAGGGCCATGGTCCGGATGCACTGCTTGCTCTGGACGTCCCAGAGACGCACCGTCTCATCATGGGAGCCCGAGAGCAGCACACTGCCGTCCGTGGACACCGACAAGCAGGTCACCTGGTTCCTGGGAGATGGACCCACACAGGGTTAAGAAAGATCAGTGGAGACCCTGGGTCCAGGCCGTGCCTCACCCCTCCCCGTCCCCACCTGTGCCCTCTGAAGACCTTCCCAGGGTCCTGCTCTGGCTGGAAGCTCCTCTCCCTCTCTGTGGGCTGTGGAGGCCAAGACAGGTCGTGAGCACCAGGGAGCCACCAGCTGCTGTCCGCCGCCCCCAGCCCCCACAGAGCTGCCCACTCTCCTGCCACCCACTCACCCGAGCACAGAGGTCCACTTGGAAGATGGAGCCATCACTGCCACCACAGAACACGTGGTGTTCGGCCAGGTCCATGGTCACAGCCATGATGCCCACATCAAACAGGACGGACAGCAGCAACTCACCAGAAGAGATCTCCCACAGCTGGGAGGGGCAGTGGGGGGTGGGAGGTGTGGGCACAGGGCTCTGGGTGGGGGCTCTGGGAAGGTCAGGGGTTGGTGGTCCTCAACCTGGACACCTTGGCCCTGGGGTCCTATTCAATGGGAGCTGTCAGGGTCCAGGAGACTCGGTCTTCCCTGGCATGGAGCTTGTTCTCCTGCAGAAGAATCCCTGCCCCCACCCGTGAAGCCTCAAGGGCAGTGAGGCCCTCAAACCTGCCCAGGCCTGGCCCAGGGCCTGGGCCAGGCACGGCAGGCCGAGTGGGAATTTCCAGGAGACGGGCTGGGCTGTCCACCCTTGCTGGATGTCCTTGGGGCTTAAAGCACCAGGGGATTACAAGCTGTCTGGCACTGCCGGCGGGGGGAGGAGATGGCTGGCTCCAGCCACCAGGAACCCAGCCTGTGAGCCGTGGAGCACAGGCCGGCGGGGGGCTCTACCTTCACTGTCTGGTCCAGCGAGGCGGTGGCCACCCGGGCCAGGGGGCCCCCAAAGCCGCAGTGCAGGTCTGTGATGGGGAGCGTGTGCTGAGACCAGACGTGCCGGGGCGCAGGGATTCTGGAGGGGTCCACCTGCAGCACACTGAGGGCAGGAGGCCCCTGGAGTCGCCCCAGCACTTGGAATACCCGGACTCCCCGTCCTACCAGCCCTGCTGGGCCCCTGGGTGGGCATGCTACCTGCAGAGGCTCCAGGTCAGCACCAGGCAGTCCCTGCCCCCAGAGAGGAAGTGGCTGCTGTCACCAGTGAACTTGAGGCACGAGAGATCCTGGTAGTGGCGGTTCAGGATGACCAAGAGGTTCCCGGTGGAGACCTGGGAGTGAACGGGGCACCCAGGTCGGGAGGAAGCTGGGCTACCGGTCCCACTCCCTGGCTGCAGGATGCCAGGGGCACACCACAGGAGTCCTGTCCACCCGTCCTGGGGCCAGAGCAAACCCCCAGGGACAGGGTGGGGCGGCTCTGTAGTCCTGGGCCAAGGAAGGCCCCGCTACACCCCTGACTGAGCTTCACGGATGGCACACTGCTGGCTGTCCTGCCAGTGCCCCCTTGTCCCCATTTGCACGACAAAAGGAAAGGGGGACACATCTCCTGCCACCAAGAGGGGCACCTCTTCTGCTTTCGCCCTGGACTGGTGGCCAGCCCTAGGGAAGGCACGGGGCTGCTGCGGGGCTCCCTGAGGAAGGGCCGGCTGGGGACTTGGCCGCTGCGGACTTGGCCACAGTGGAAAGCTCTTTGGAAATTGGCGGCTGGGCAGGCAGAAGGCCCATCTCGAGCAGAGGAAGTGGGGGCAGCTGGCGGCAGAGACGCGCCCACTTGCATGGCACCCGAGAGGGGCTGAGCTGAAATGTGCCCTGCCAAAGCATGTTCCAGCCCTGACCCCCTCCCCAGGACCTGTAAATGGGACCTTTTTCAGAAATAGGGTCAAACTGGGTGCAGCCAGAGGTACGGAGCTTGCCCAGCACCATGAGGCCCTGGACTCCATCCCCAGCACTGCAGACAAGGGAGGAGGAGGAGTGGGGCCTCTGCAGATGTGGTCAGCTGCTGTCCTTGTGAGGACAGGAGATGGGGTGACGGCAGAGATGACAGCCTGCAGCCACAGCAGGGCACTGGCGCCCCAGATCTGGAGGCAGCAGGAAGGACCCTACTGTAGGTAGGCATCCAGGCCCTGCCCAACCTGCACACCTGCAGCCTGGACTTCTTGGCTTCAGGGCTGTCGCCTGAAGCTGCCTGTCCACGGTGCTTTCTAGGGAGGCGCACAAGGCAAGCACCCACCTAGCAAGCCCAGCCCTCCTCTGGCCTCTGTTTCCCCACCTACACCCAGGGCTGTCCCAGAGCAGAGAAGGACTAAGTGATGTTGTTGGCACCATCCAGCTCAGTCCTGGACACAGGCACCTCTYACGGAGCTGGGCAGAGGGGGCCACACTGTGTCTCCTGGGAGATCCAGTCCCTGGGAGCCAGTAGCACGAAGGGAAGGCCCAGGACTCGGCGCTGCTCAGACCAGCCACTGACCTGCTCTAGGACTTGTAGTCCCTCCTCACATACCCTCACCCTCACCCGCGGGCCGTCAGACCACCATTCCCTACCCTCAGCAAGAAGGGAGCCTCTGGTGCCTCCCCAGGGGGAAGGACCACTAAACTTCTGACCACGTGTAGCCCACCCTGGGCTGCAGGCAAGCAGGGCAGACAACCTGGAGCTCGTGGCATGTCTCCCTCTCTGCCTCAGCAACTTCTCAGCATCTCGGGCTGAGGGTGAAGTTCCAGGCTGACGGGATGTCCCCAGCACCTCTGGGAGGAGGGGACAAGATCAGGGAGGGGAGAGATGCAGCTCTTGGGCCTGGAACCCTGTACTGCCTGCATCTCCTGCTCCAAGTGGGTGCACACCACCCTGAACAGGTGACAGCATGTAACAGACTCTGGGCCAAAGCCAGCTGAGGCCTGACTCACGTCACCAAGCCGTGCCCACTGTTACAGGTTGTCTAGGACCACTTCCCTGCCAGGCCAGAGCCCTTGGCAGAAACGGATGAGTGTGGCAGGGACTGGATGGTGCATGAGGGCCTGAGGGGCCATCACCTGATTTTCCCAAAGATAAGAAAAAGAGAGGTTGAACAACATCATCTGACCCCTTTATAACTTAGAGTCAGACGATGTCCGCTGCTGGGAAGAGATGCTCTGCCAATGTGGGGATGGCCCCGAAAGTCTACAGTGTCCCCCGCCTCGACTGCACTATGGTCTACGGAGGAGGACTCAGGCAGAGCAGGGTTGAGACCCCAGAGCAGTCGCCAACTGCTCCCCATGGGCACTCGGGGTGCTTTCTCACCTCCCATAAGTAGATGCTTTCTGCAATTCCTGCCAGGACATAGAGGCCATTGGGTGACGTGGTCAGACAGGTGACAGGTCCAGGGCACATGATCTTTTGCTGGAGCTGGTCCTGGGGACACACAACAGAACCCTGAGCCTCTGGTGAGAGGCAGGGGAGGGTGAGTGGAGGGGACACCCAGGCAACTGGTAAATTCAGAGTGCTAGAAAGAGAAGCAGGGCCGGGCGCCGTGGCAACGCCTGTCATCCCAGCAACCCAGGAGGCTGAGGCAGGAGAATCAAGAGTTCAAAGCCAGCCTCAGTAAAAGCCAGGTGCTAAGCAACTCAGTGAGACCCTGTCTCTAAATAAATGAAATACAAACTAGAAAGATGACCCGGGCGCAGGGCTGGACGGAATGCACAGTCCAGCAAGGTAGCTCCTGGGGTATAAGCATGACCGTGCTTTCTCTGGAGAGGAGAAGAACAGCAAAGCAAAAGGGTCTGTGAGGGCCCTGGATCCAGAGCCCAACAGCCAGTAGGCCTGCACTCCAATCCAGCTCACCCTACTGCGACTCTGAACCAGGTAACATGGAGTAGTGGTCGCCCAGAGTGATCTCAGCAAGTCCACGGGGCGGCAAGCAGATTTGGGGGCTGCATTCTGGGGCTACTAATGGAGAAGAAAGGGTAGGAAAGGCTCTGRTACTGAAGGTGTCTTTGGGCGATAAATGCATGAGTCTCTGGGGCTATCCTTCCAGGGGGGCTCCCAGAGATCTCAGACCCTCTCCATCCTTCTGCAAAATCACCAGGTTCAAAGGACCCTATTCACCCCCTTTAATCAAATTTAGCGCTCCCGAGCTCACGCATGCGAGCAAGAAACCTCCCCCCACAAGCTAAGCCTGTGCCAGGCCAGCTCTCCAGGACCCGACCTCGGCTCCCACGCAGGCGCASAGTGCCCTAACGCGCCCACCGCCGGCGCATGCGGTCTAACTCGACACCCCCACCCCGTTCCCCTCTAGGACTCCGGGCGCCTGGGACTCTTTCGCGTCCCCGCTCCCTCTCGAAGCCCCACGCGCCACCCCGTGTCCCGAGCCCGCGTTTCGCACCTTCCGCTGCAGCTCCCAGGCGCTGATGTAATTCTTGCCCAGCTGAGCCGCCAGGAGGTACTCGCCATTGAGCAGCGCCAGGCCGCGGGGCCCAGCCTGGCCGCCGCGGTAGGTGAGCAGGTTGGCGCCCGAGTGCAGCTCCCACACGACACAGCTCCACAGCTGCGCCGCCGAGTCCGTACACACGGCTACCTCCATGGGCGCCGCCATCTTCCCCAGCCGCCACGTCCCGGAAGTGTGTCATCCCCAGCGAGACGCGGACCCCGGCGACTCGCAAGCTAGAGCGGCACCTACTCGCTCTTGGGCGGGGTTGGCGGACCCGCGCAGGCGTACAGGTCTCAGGTGGACCTGCGGCGGCGGGCCTTCAGCAGGGAGTCGTGGGTCGCACGGCTCGGTTAGAGTTGTTGGATAGCGACCTCTTCCGAGTCGGAGGGTTTCTTTTGAGCAGTTAGGGTGATCTGGCCATTTCCTTCTGTTCGCTTTTGGCCAAGTGTCCATTCTTTTGGATTATTATTCTTTTGGTACAAGGGTTGAATCCAGGGGCGCTTAACCACTGAGCCACATCCTTACAACCCCAGGCCTTGTAATTCTTTTTGAGAGAGAGGTCTGAGCTGCTGAGGCTGGTTTTGAGCTTGCGATCCTCTCGTCTCAGCCTCCCAAGCTTCTGGGATTACAGGTGTGCACCACTGCGCCTGGTTTCGGATTTTTTTTTTTTTTTATGTTCAAATATAAAGTACCCACCTCACAGTCCTACACGAAGACTCTGCACGTAGAACAGACTACACACCTTACAGCAGCGGGTGGAGGGCTGGGGCGGTCTCAGTGGGGGCGAGCTTGCCTAGCCTGCGGGAGATCCTGGGTTCCATCCAGGATGGAACCAGCCAACAAAATAGCCCTCGCAATAGCCCTAGGTGGCGCACAGTGCCTTGTGATTRAATGCTTACTTTATTGATCAGTGTCTACCTCCCCTTTGACCTTACCTCTTTGGGGCCCGTTGGTTCACGCCCAGCACGTCGCAGCTCTGTCTGAGTAGCACTAGTTTCAGGCCAGAGCTGTCAACCTCAGGCCGCGTCTCTAAACAGAGGTTCCTTCCTTTCCTTGCTTCCTTGCTTCCTTGCTTTCTTTCCTTTTCCTTCCTTTCCTTCCTTCCCTTCCTTCCTTTCCTTCCTTCCTCCCTTCCCTTCCTTCCCTTCCCTTCCTTCCCTTCCCTTCCTTTCCTTCCTTCCTTCCTTTCCTTCTCTCTTTCTGGTGCTGGGAAAGCAACCCAGCCTCCCGCATGCCGGGCGAGCGCTGGGCCACTGGGCCGCATCCCAGCCCTAACCAGCAGCAGGGTACAGCTTGGGGCAGCAGCTCGCGGGTCTCTGGGCCGGGCCGGCTCAGGGGGCCTGCGGGACCGAGGCCGGGCCGCGACGCGCGACCCCCCGGGGGAGGGTCGCGATGCGGCCGCCAGGGGGCAGGCGCGAGCCGCGGCGGGAGCGGGACGGCGCACCTGGCGGGGCGGGGGGGGGGGGGCGCGACCTTCAGCGAGGTGTCCGCGGCCTCGTGGTGCAGCTTGGCTGCATTTTGTCCTGAGCGATTCCGGCCCCAGGAGCGGCTCCGGTCCCCTTCCCAGAATGTGGTGGGGTGTTTGCGGGGGCTTGAGCCCAGGGGCGCCCTACCTCTGAGCTGCGACCAGGCCTGGTAAAATTTTAAGACAGGGCCTTGCTCAGTTGGGGAGGCTGGCCCTGAACTTGCTGTCCCCTGCCTCCTAGGAGAGGTGGGGATGACAAGCGAGCCACCATGGTGTTTTTGCCGGCCGGGATGCCCCCCAGGCCCTCCTCCCTGCCTTCTTAGTCACTGTAAGAAACAGGAAAGATACATAAGAAAGAGAGGCCAGAGGGCTGGGGATGTGGCTCCAGCGGTAGCGCTCGCCTGGCATGCGTGCGGCCAGGGTTCGATCCTCAGCACCACATTGTTGTGTCTGCCGAGAACTAAAAAATTACCAGGGTCCCACAGCACAGCAGGGGCAGAGTCCCCTCCAGTGCTGACCTCATGTTCAAACCCAGCTGGAGGGAGACCCCCGCTGATTTTGCCTCCTTTGACCTGGGGCAGGTCACTTCCTGGCTCTGGGCCTCAGATGCCCTCCTGTGTGTAGGGGTGCTGTTGTTCTTGGGGTGCTGCTTAGAGGGCTCTGTGAGGGCTAGGAGGCACCCTGGCCCTGTCCCCAGGGGAGTCTGAGCCTCTGAGTTCCTGGGTTCCAGGATCTTAGGCCCTGTGGGTGTCCGTCAGAGGTGTGTGGACTCACTCCAAGCCCAAAAGAGGCCCTTGTGGTCAATGGTCTGGCAGGGCAGGCTGGGCAGCTGGACTGCGGTCATCCCCCTCACAGGCCAGGCAAGTGTGGCCCTCCCTTCTCCCCTCCRGGACCTGCTGGCTGGACTGCCTTGCAGGGTCAGAGGTCACCCCACCCCCAGCCTGGCTCCTGGAATGAGGACTGACCAGTTGTCAGAGCTGCTGGATGAAAGCCACACTTGGGGGCGTCCCCAGACCACCCAGTTACTCGATCTTGGTGCCAGCTGGGCGCCTGTCCTCCCTCTGAGGCTGGGAGTGTGGGGGTGGGGCAGCCTCCCAGGAAACTGGAGCTGAGAYCCACCCCTCCCTCTGGCCCGCCCCCGACCCTGACCGCAGACCACACCAGCAAGGTCCAGCTGTCCTCAGGGCAGCCCCTGGTCCACACTGAGGGCAGAGGGAGACAGGTGACTCAGTCACCACCCCCTCTTTGAGACCAAGCCAGCCCCTGGCCTCTGCTGACCCCTGGGCTGGGGAGGATGGGGGCTGGATCCTGGCTGTGTCCCCCGGGCTGTGTGGCCTCAGGGTCCCTCAGCTCCCTCCCTGAGGCACCTGGCTGAGGAATGAAGCTGCAGGACTGGACCTTCCACTTTGCTGGAGAGGGGCCTTTTGTTTTTGATCCCTGTCCTTATCTCCCTGGGGGTCCAGGGACTGATGGGCCAACCTCCTCTGGGAGTGGTGGCAGATGGATTTGTGGCAGGGGTAGGTTTCTCTTTAGCAGGCTTTGGAGAYGGGCCTCAGGTGACTGCGGGAGCCAGGGCTCTGGGGGTAGAGAGGGTGCAGCCCAGGCCAGCCCTGGCCAGAACTTGGGGGCAGGGGAACCAGGTGGCCAGTCTGTGCCTGCCCACCTAGCCATGCTGCCCTTGAGTGTGAACTGGGAGGTCAGCCGGGCGCTGCTTCCTGGAGGCCACACCTGCGGTACCTGGACCCCGAGGCCTGGTCTCCAGCAGGACCCTGGGGTCAGGCTGGCAATGAGCCCTGGGAGGGAAAGCCAACCCCAGGGGAGGCCCAGGGAGCAGGGAGCCCCAGCAGTGTCAGCCGGCTTCTGCTGGGCTGTCCCTGAGGGCAGGGGCAGGAGTCACGTGCCCTGGCCCAGAGGACCCGGATGACGTCCTGGTGGGTGAGTGCGGGAGGGGGCCGTGTGTGTCGGGGTCACACAGGACGAAAAGGAGATTTTCAGACCTGAGACTGATAGGACCGTGGCTCCAGTCAGCAAGCAGGGCACCCGCCACGCGGTGCCGGTCACATGACCCAGGGAGCAGGGAGCCTCTTGGGGCTGGGGGCCAGAAGCTATGGCCGGCCCTGCCCCCTGCTGACCAGGTGAAAGCTCAGGGGGAGGCCAGGGAGTCACTTCTGAGCCATGGCTTAAACCAGGGCCCCCCTCAGCACAGTGGATGTGTAGGCCTGAAYGGGGTCCTGGGCCTCTGGGGGGCTGAGCAGCGAATGTGGCCTGCACCTACCCCGTGGGGATGCCAAACACCTGTGATGGCCCAGGGTCCCTGGGGTACAGGCCCCAGTTCAGGACTCCCCTGTAGCCGGCACCTTCTACCTGCTGGCACCAACCTGAGACTCAAGGTGGAGGCRGCTAGACTGCCCGCCCTAGGACGGCCCACCCCACGTGGCCTGGCCAAGGGCGCTGCTCCCCAAAAAACAGCACAGGAGACACTTTTCTGTTAAAGTCAGAAGAGTTTGTCTTGTTTTAATATCTCATCAGCTTTACATGGTTACAATTGTCTTAAATATTTCTGAAGTTTAAATACAATCTGCATAATAATGTTATAAAATGTAAACTTTCAGTGTTCTTTTAAATTTCAAAATCACACTTTTTTGGGGGGTCTTTTTGTCTTTTGCCTTTTTTTTTTTTCCTTTTAATACCTGAATGTTCTGCAAAAACTGAGATAGATGCAGGTCACCCTGCCCTGGCCGCAGTGTGACAGGGGCCCAGCCAGAGGTAGACAGCAGTTTATACTTTTTTTTTTTTTTTTTTTTTTAATTTTTTTCCCCTTTACCTGAGTTTGGGCGTGATCTGCACGCCATCTGACAAGCCCCCGAGAAACTGAAACTTTGACCTTCGAGATGAAAGGCTGAGCTTGTGTTTGCCAAGAAAAAATGCAAAAGCCAAAATTCAACGGAAAGCCATGAAGGAAGGTGGGCCAAACGGTCAGAGAAAGGTGCGACTGTAGAACCACAACTCTAAACACCGCCCGGAGGCCCCATGCCCCCCGACCTCGCCACAGTGGACAGGGGGACAGCCTCGCCCAGGGCCCCACTCACTTCCAGGACCCTGCTAGCCCCTGCGCCCTGAGTTTGGGAGCCTGCCGGCTGTGCCCACCCAAGACCCCAGGTGCCAGTGGACAGTACCCACACCCAAGTCCCCTGGGCCTGGCAGGTCACCCCTTCCATATGTTTGCATAATGGGGTGCTGAGCTGTGCCCCAGAAAGACACTCCTTAGAACCCCTACCAGCAGACTGGCCAGGAGACAGGCAGGCCACTCAGGGCCCACCCTCCTGCCTGTGGGGACACAGGTCCCAGAGACTCCCACACATGGCTGCCAGGGCTCCAGGGTCCTATAGGCATCGAGCAGCCGGCAGGCCAGGTCCCTGAGTCAGGATCCAGTCCTCGTGCAAAGCTGGCCCGCCACACACCCCGAAGTGGGTCCCCACCAGCACACCACCCACGCGTCACCTGAGGGGGCAGGTGGAGGTGGCCCTGGCCCCGMGCACTGAGTACCTGGGTGGCCACTGGGCCAGTTTTTGGCATCAAAAGTCAGACCTGAGGTAGAAAGAAATGTGCAGTGGACAGTCCCCACATGGGGCCCTGGCACAGGACAAGGGGCTGCAGCCCCCAAGGCCGCTGGCTGCAGAGTTGTGGCCAGGAGGCCGAAGGAGCAGATTTTGGACGGAGTCCAGATGGTTCTCGGAGAGGGGGCAAGATTGAGTCT